ACAATGCTTAAGTTAGTACAAGCACTGTTGTGGTTTAACTCTTAAAAGATTTATCGCTTATATAAGTCATGACAAAACGCCTACGAATGAAGATCAATATTAGTTTTGAACATCTCAACAAAAGCGCCGCTCGCAGAATATATTAACAAAGTTTAACCGTCAAATAATTGCTCACATGGAACACAAATGTTCTGGCCATATTGGAACAGTTATCTAAATATCATACTCCCGAGTCTCCCAGTCTGTGTTTCAATGTAACATGTCAACACATGCAATATAAAAAATAATAATTAGGCATATGTAAAGAATTTTTTGTCATACTGCAGCGAAATAGCAGTTTTTATACGAATGCGTTGCGGGTCTAAAATTATTAGACTAACTCTAATAAGTACAATAATTACAAAAAGTAAATAAAAGAAACGTCTTATAACTTTTAAAACATTTACGCTTATACAAGACGGTATACCATTTATACTCACAAGACGGTAAATATACAAAAAAGATGGTAAGTAATGATCGATTTCGATTGGACACTCCAATCATCATCAGACCCAATAGGCGAATGTCATTCGGGCCAGTCCAAGATATCGATCGGCAACCTTCGGACGGTTCGTATTGAAATGTCATGTTCACAGGGTTGGATGATAATATTCCACAAGTAGGTAACAGCGAAGCTAGCGTGTCGAGGCCCCGCCCTGCAACACGCTAGTTTTTGTGGTATAAATCACTCTCGTTTTCATCCACTCTCTTATTTCCCCAATTATTTACACCTTTTCTTTCGTCGTCGTCGGAATCCAAGATAGTGCTCTATTTTCCAAAACCTCACGCTTTGCTTTACTTTGGAGTTTTATTCTCAACACGTTTTTTATTTTTTAAACCCCTTGGCTTGTGGAAATTAATGAAAAATATGTGGCCAATCAATTTAGATAACTGTTTTATGAACGTTACAAAACTTGTCGTTCATAAATTTAATTTACTTAAAGTTATTATTTACTAGCAGAGTACCCGTCCTTCGTACGGGGTCGGCATATAAGTATAAAACGCTTATTGCAGTTATACTCGAGCTTTGCATTTGCATTTTCAATAGGGGAGGACACAGTTTGATAAAATTTGCTTATTTAAATTTACGGTATACCATAGTATTACACATCTACCATAGTCATAATGTTCTACCACTTCACCTAAACAATAGAGAAAAATAAATTAGCTGTAAATTGAGCTGTAGTTATGATAAATGCAAAACAAATAATAGTGCTGCACCCTGTTGGTAAAACTTAACTTTTTAATGCTTTTCATATCATAGAACCAACTTTTTAGTTGAAACAGCTGACAAAATTCTTTAATTCCCTTTTAATATGAATACTCATAAGGTTAACATGGGAAACTGCAGAGCCACTGGAGCGGAGGCTGAATTTTTATTTCAGGATTAGTGTTGCCTACAATATTATTTTGAGGCTTCTGATTGGCTAAAGGGAACATCATTACCGCGACGATACGTTGATGCCAACGGCCTCGGTGATGTAGTGGATAGAGTGCTGGGTTAATGATCCGAAGGATCCGGGTTCGATTCCCACCCGTTGCACAATTATTTTGTATTGGATTTTTTTCATTATTAACAAGTTTGGTTGGTTTGGTTAGGTTATGGCAGTTTAATTTGATAATTAAAACATTATGGAATTGAATTTGACCCATTTATAGTTTTATTTTATGAACAGAAATGTTTTTTTCGGTTAAACCTTCATTTGATTTTTCATTGTTAGCAAGTCTGGTTAGTTTGGTTAGGTTATGTAGTTTAATTTTATAATAAAAAAATGTAAAATAGGATTTGAGGCATTTATAATTTTATTTTATGAACAGAACCATTTTTTTCGATTAATAAACCTTCATTAGATTTTTTCATTATCAGTACGTTTGGTTGGTTTGGTTAGGTTATGACGGTTTAATTTCATAATAAAAAGATATAAAATTGAATTTGAGGCATTTATAATTTTATTCTATGAACAAAAATAATTTTTCACTTACTAAACCTTCGTTATAGTCAATCAGAAGCCTCTAAATGACACTGTTAGCAAAATTAATCCTGAAAAACAAATTGTGCGGAGCGGAGCCCGAAAGGATTTGTCAGGAAAAAATATGCCCATATGTTAATCGGGAATGTGAGCTATCATCATGCAAAATTTCTGCCCAATCCGTCCAGTCGTTAATGCGTGATTGAACTTCAAACAAACAAACAAACAAACACACAAACTTTCACATTTATAATATTAGTAAGATAAGATAAGTAAGATAAGATTGATTGAAATAACGAAGAATTTCAATATTGACATTGAGTATTTAATTTTAACATATTCCCAATATTTGAGTGTTTATTAACTTTCTTTCGTTAGTTAGATTGGGATGGGAATAAATGATAACTTACCATTGATACGTGAAGTTTCCTTTTCTTATCTGTTTATTAGATAAAGTTGTACAGCCCAACCGCTTGTTGTGAACGATTATAAACGATTTTGATTAACACAGTAAACAATCATCAAATTAAAAATATTGTTATTAGAAGTAAACCTTGAGATATATCTAAAACTAATCCACGCCGAGGTTCATATAGGATGCATTAAATAATGTAAACTCTGTTGAAAAGGAGATTATGGCGCACAGTTCAATTTATTTTACATTTGTATACAAGACAATAACGAATTGTGGATATTTATAGGCATGCACTGTGGATGCGATACTCCCTGGTGTGGATTAACGTCCGCACTAGTGAGTACCACGACTATCCGCAGTACTATCCTGATAATTAGACCAATTAGTATACACCAAGGCAAAAATGTGGTTCGGACTCCACTATAAACTGTAGGTCCCCTTAGTTGCCTTTAGCTGTATGGGCTATAAATTAACACCTGTGTCAAAGGAATGTCGGCCTTAGTCACTAACAAGACTACAAGTACGCCACTAATCCTACACTCATCTCCATTCATACTTGGCTTAAAATACCTACTTTGTATGGTCGCCATTTAATAAGGAAGTATTAGAGTAATCTTAATTTGGTGTAAATTACCATTTCGCTTGGTTATCTAGTTACTGGCTCGAAAGATAGTGCAAGAGTAACCTGAACAAAAATGCGATCACTATGACGTACAATAAACGTTGTTTTTGCCTACGTTTGTGTTTCTTCGTACATCACTATGTTTGGATCGCAACATTTTAAATTTTTGACTAAATATGTATTACTTTTTATTTTTTTATTTTCGATACCTATAGGATTAGTTTTCAAAGAACGTAAATTTGGAAGGTAAATTTGTTTACCTTAGAAATATGACCACAATGAAAAAATTCTAGTATGATCAGTAGTACAACGATAACGCAATATACTATCTAAATAAACAATTTATGTCGTTTTTGGGTTGAAGACAACTAAAATATTGGCACATTACAGTAAAAACAAATCAAGTTTAAATTCTATCTCGGTTAACCCAATCCTAAGACAAACACACTTTTATAAACAGTTGGCTGGTATTTTGGACGAATCCCAAATGGATATTAGATAATATAGACATAGACATCGACATAGACATATTTTATTTGCACATAACATTCTTTACATGTGTTACATACAGAATAGGTGCATTGTCAGAGTTAAAATTATCAGAATATAAAAAATAAAATAGTAATCAAGATAATAATATAAATTAACAAAATTGAATGATAAAACTATTCTAAACTAAAAGGGCATTGTGAAAATTTGCAATTAAATAAAAGGCTCTGTCAATTAAGAGGTCACCTGTTTTATCTTTAAAATTATTTTCATTTAACAGTTTATAGTTTGCAGGCAGCACATTGTACAGCCTGAGCCCAGCATATACTGGACTTATGAACTAGGACTTATAGTGGAATATCGTTACATAAATCTGTAAGTAAGTAAGGTGTTTTCCTAAAATGACAATTATCATGTATTTTTGATAAAACGGATTGAAACAAGTTTTTTCTTTAACTTCTGAAAAGTTACAGATTTGAAAATCTAAGTCAAATAGGCTTCCCAATAGAGATAAGCATTTGCGGTCTTGGCAACCCATCAAACCATAAAAAATATAATCATATGTTGGCAAATAAATATTGGGGCCACACAATAATCCATGATTAGATAATGGTGTAGGATATTTCTTTGTGAATTATTTTACCTAAAAACAATTTATGTACGTGCAGAAAGAAAACTTTGCCTCCTAAAACGTGGATATACAGTAATATAACGATGAATAAAAATATTCTAGTTTTTCATTAGTAAGTTTAGGCCGCTTGAAAGTGGCTGCCTTGTTTTAAACTATACAATAATGTTTACCAAAAACTTTTAAATATTTTCCAACACATTAAATACATGCTAAAACTCTGCATTAGATTTTAATTATACATAAATATATTTAATAAAAGTTCTTAAAGTATTAATATAGTAAAAATAAAACTAGTATTCCCATTTTCTTCCAGGCTTGATGCAATGCCTGAAACAAAGTAGGTTACATAGTCCACAGTTAGTCTAATATTTTTTACATAATTGACTAGTCTTAAAGCTTTGTTGCTCTATTTTAAAAATAGAAAATACCTGCAACGGTTTTGCTATGTTCACCGGCCATAAATAAGTGTATTTGATATATATTGTCTTTCGCAATCAATGTTTTTTTTTCAATTCCGTGACATTTTTATAGTTTTGAAATTGATATTTCAAATTGGAGCAATGAGGTTCCGAAAACAGTTGTTGATTGATTCAACAAATTCGTTATATATTATTGTGGTAATTTAATACACTACTATTTCAGTTTGAAACGAAGTAGCCAATTTTAAGCAGCTCAAAAAGCGTAACAATAATGCAGTTTACCATTATTATGTGCGAACAAATAAAATGTACTATTCGAGCAAATCCCAGAGTGCACGCCCGGGCCGGGGTAGAGAGGTGGCACAGTGTGGGGGTTGTAACGCCTGCGCCCCCAGCCTGCGTCTAGTCCAGTGTTTGCTGGAGTGACCTCTTGACAACATCTTTCCCTCGGTAAGTACAGCCATTCAGTCAATTCGAGGGAAATGACAGTAGTATCCAGGCGAGGGGTGGTTAAAACCCCTTGGTTAGAGCACAGACTAAAATTTGATTATGAATTCTTATTGTTTGAGTGTTTGGAATGAATAGTTTGATGACTGAGTCACATAAAAAAAAAAACAATTAAGTAAATGATGATTTTATCATAAATAACATTTATAAATAAATTAAAGTTCAATTAATTTGATAGTTCAATGTTCAATATCAGACAATCACAATGTTCAATCAGACACCACACCAATAAATATTTAGTTTTAATTTTCCCCATTTACTAGTTGTTTTTGAGCCATCGAAAACTTTTTTTAGTCAATACAGTTTTCAACGTGTACGAGTTTACTTTTCCCCTTTACGTACATGATTTCGAATTCTATAATAACTAGCTGTTACCCACGGGCTTCACCCCGTTTGACTTCATAAGTATTAATACAACTATTGGTTGGTTCAGTTTTTTTTTTATTATTTATTTACAATCTGTTCAACAAAAATAGAACAGCAAGCAAATATGATAAAATTTAAACGCAGTAGTTAATCTTTATCTAACAATTAAGGTAGCACACAAACTTTGCATATTGGTACAAAGTTATAAGTCCATACATTTCTAAAAACTACAACTCAGGCCCAAAACATGGCATCTTTTCAATCTACGATACACAGTTGCTGTTGTCCAACAAATTTAAAGCAAGGTAGTTAGTATGGTATTATAATTTCTTAGTATTTGGCACTCAACCTTGAAATTTCTTCTTTGACCGTTGGGGTTCGACTGTCCCTATGAAGCACTTCGTTATTAACGAACCATGGTGCCTGGAGAATGTTCGTTAGAACCTTGGATTGGAATCTTTGGATGACGTTCAGATTTCATTCACTGGATATTAACAAACAAATTAATACTGCTGAGGTATTTTTAACATTAGGTATAAATAAAGTTCCCTTTAGAAAGGAATTACGACCTTAAAAGGCAATATATGAAATAATGGATAGTGTTGCGCAAGGTTTCTCGTCATGACGAACATTTTAAGTATATGGTTTATGGAGGTGTGACTTTTAGTTTTCTCAAAGGTTCATGGGTACTTTGGGCTTTATATATGGATAATAATTAAATTTAATTCCTAATTTTATAAATTAAATACAAGTTTTTCCAATTGTTAATCTATTTAACTAAACCAAAAATAAATGGCATCAGCTATCTGACACAAATTTTCTCCCATAAGCTTGTCAACAACATTTATCATGGGCAAGCAGTGAGAGTAACTATGATACCCATTTTATATTGAAAAATCACAAAAGCTGCAATAACTTTTGAACCGTAATTGTTACAGAAATGGTCACTATTTTGTTTAGAGTTATAAGGGCCATAACACATTAATTAGAATCAAACCCGGTTTTTTCCAAAGTTCGATTTCTTGTAATTTTAAGGTTTTTTTAAATGTTCTGTTAAATACTGTTCAACTAAAAAACTACATAAGTTACAAAAACTGTTGAACCGTGATCAGAATTTGAATGACCATAACACTTAAGTTTTAATCGAAACCGGTTTTTTAAAATCCAATTTTTGTTTTTTATGGGGTTTTTATTAAAATAACATAATTTGCAATAACTTTAAACCTATGATTTTTACGGAAATGGGATTTGTACAATTTTGTTCATAATCTAAAGGAATAAAACATACTAAACCTTCATCAAAATCGTTCAGGCCATTTTCGAGAAAATCCGTGTTTTCTGTTACCTAATTTTATGGTTTTCAATGGGAAAATCACCAAAGACAAAGGCACCATTAAAAATAAACATTTCAAACAAATAAAAAAAGCCTGGACATACCATGGATTAGGGGGTGAAAGTAAAATCCATTGTTTTTGGAATGATACTACAATTATTGGTGTTATAAATACCCAAATATTATTATTTCGTCAAACAAGACATTTTTGATCAGTAGGAAATAAGTTTGAATATTATATGGTTTATATGTTTTTTGTTTAGCTAGGCCTAGCTATGGCTAGTGATGCATTGACTAAAATTAATATAATGTTAAAACCAAAGAAAGTCATAGAGATTCTAAATAGTCTGTTTATACCAAAAAGATCATAATATAAGTGCAAATATAAATACCATCCAAGTATCATTGTAATAGTTATACAATATTATGCATAACATATGACTAAGGGACCAGAATGGCTATATTTTTATTTGATTGCTTTACAAAACTGAACGATTTGCAAAGAGAAATTCGTGTACTATTGAGGAGTTGTTTAGTTGTTAATTGCTCTATACTAATTGAATGCTTTTAGTGCTGTTTGGAGTCAGTAATGATGTTACTGGAGATAACTCTCTGACCACTAACTGTCAGGATTTTGCCCTTGATTAACAGTTCTTTTAAGTGCCCAACAAGATCACAACAATGTAAGTTTTCCTCTGTATAATGAAAAAGTAAAATATTTTGTGGTAAAAAAACGTTTTTGCCTTAGCAAATTAATTTTGTAAAATTATATAACTGAAAAAAAAAATAAATATTCTAAAAAACAATAACGTGAAAAAGTTAATAGCTCAGGAAAGTAATTTGTGTGAAAAGTAAATAGGTAAATATGTTACTGTTTTGTTTCTACAAATGTTAGAAATTACAATGTTCAGCTTATTTTGTAAATAATGTAAATTCTGTTGGTGTGTAAATGGGCAAGTAAAATAAAAGCAAATGTAACAAAGGCTGTAAAAAATATAACTCGGAATGTATATTATATTACAGTTATAAGATCAAACTTTACACAGAGATGGGTACTAAAAGATATAATAGTTATGTATTTTTCATGATCTTATAGCGAATTTCCCTTATAGGGAATAAGCTATTCTCATGGCAAGACCTAGACTCGGGACCGATTTACTTTTTCGTTTTGAGGTACCCAGAGGCTAAAAACACCTTCCGTTCAAATTCACCTATAAAAATATGTGTGTCCGTTAGCGAGATAACTCGAGCAAAAGTGATCCGATTTTGATGAAATTTTGTACAAACGTGTAAACCTGCGTTTAATCGAACGCATTCGCGAACCAGCATGATCGGACTTTTTGAACAGGGGGTTTTATGGTGTAAAAATTGGGTTTTCCCATTTTTGACTCTAAAAACATAACATTTCACAATTGCTTTCCAAACAATTTTGTAAAGCTGAAGAAATAAATAATTTTGTATATTGAAGCGTTGTTGTATGCCTAACGGTTACGGAGATAATAAAAACAAATTTAATTTAAAATTCCCATGTTATTTTTATAAATGAACTAGTGCAGTTTGCTCGTTTATGTATATATTTTAATAAAATTTGGTAATTTGTTAAACCAGCAACATAACAACATAAAATAAAACTAACAACATTTAATTTAAAACACACCTCAATACCTTCCCTGTAGCAGCAAACCGAAGTACTCATTAAAATTAATGTTTTTTAAATAGGAATAAAAACTGCCAATTTTTATGGAATGTTTTAGTAGAAATCCAGCCACGTAAATGAAAATTCGCTTAGTCTGCAGGTTTGCTGCGGCGGGGGTATTTTCTATTTACTGTATTTTTGCTTTTTCCTATTTATAATTTCTTTTTGGATTGCACTTGTTTAATGATCAACAAAATTATAGAATACAGTGCTTGAGGGCAATTTACTTTTACATTTCGTCCATATACGGGTATTTTTAGTAGGCCTAAAACATAAACACAAACATTGAACATAAATACCCCCACCGCAGCATATCTGCAGACTAAGCAAATTTCTATTTGCCTGCTTTGATTTTTAATCAAATCTATTTCTTAACCTGTAGAGCAACTTGTTATAATATTAGATATTTTTGTCTTGGTAAAATCTGTGATTTATTTTTTAATCTGATAAACTTTTCAAAACAAATAAATATAAAATCTTACAGCATGAACAAATCCAAAACCTAATTTTTTGCCACAATGTCTTTTTGTTGTGGTAATAAAATAGCGAATACTCTTTTATTTCTAAGAACCTGCCCATTTACTTTAAAATGAATTATTATTATCGTTGTTAAACTGTGTATACAAAGAGAAAAAGTAGAACTTATGTGACAAATGTTATTGCAGGTTTTGTCAGTGACAGCTCGCTATTACCACATGCGTTTTTTGTTACAGCAAACAATGGTTTGGTAAACAAAAACTTTTCATTGTTCAAACGTAACGCTGTTAAAGCACACAAGCGAATGCAAAGTACATTTTAATCTATTTGTTAGGATTATCCTTTCTTGAAAAAATCTTTTTAGGCATTTTTTTAATACTAGTAAAGCCACTTTTACATTTTAAAACTTAAAAATAACAGTTTTATAATTTTGTTATTTAACTTTGTGTTAATTTGCCAATTCCTTATTGTGATGTACACAGCGTGGCTGTACCGAAGATTAATTTTTCTTAAATACATAGTACATAGTAGTTACATAGTATACATTTATCAACATGATTTAGCGTTACCGGTAAATGTAATGATTAATACCGCTTTAAAATGTGTTTTATAATCCTAACAGTACCATATTAACAATACTTGTCCCAAATCAACACAAATCCTCATACAATCTGTGTCAATAGCGTGCCTAAGCTATTCGCTCAAATCGGTTGGAACGCTGGAAGCTGATTGGTTGCCATCTGGCAGAACTCCAGTCTGGTATTCCATTGAACAGAGCAAAGTGTGCATAAGTACTTCCTTTACTGTCCTGACACATTACGGCGATGGAGGAATATTCTAACTGTTAACTGTAAAATTAAGTTTTAAGTTCTAGCGGTGTACGGATGCTGTAAAAGTTTGTCCCTTCTTTCTCCAGCGTTGCAAATCGAAGTTTAATTTTATGGCCATGTAATACAAATCACATTCAAGAAACTATGCGATTCTATAAACATGCCTTGGTATTTCCCCATTCAAGATAAATATCTGCGGTATTTTTGTTGGGTTAAAACGTACTAACTCCTATAACGATTT